ATGACTTGTTGCATACATTGATGGATCAGTGAAAACCCATTATTGTAAATATTTTGTGCATTTACTAGTAATAGATGGAATACAGTACATGTATTTTGTACAATGGGCTTGTGAACACAAATAACCTGATTAAGGTCAAGTAATTAGGATCAATACTGTCATTACAGTTAGATGAAATTACTGTAGAATACTTTATTTTCGCTGGAATTAATTTTCGCTGAAAAGGCTTTTTGGGCGTTTTGTATGGAATTTATTTTCACTGATTTTAATGTGAAAGATAGGAAAAAAAGTATATTCGCTGGATTTTATTTTCACTGAATCATTCCTTCAGCGAAAATAGCGAAAATAAGTTCCAAGCGAAAATAAAGTATTCTACAGTATTCAACATTTTGTGAATAGTCTGCTTTAATATTACTATACCTAGGTCATATGTGGAAAACAATTTTTTTGTAAACATAAGTTATGTAAGTAAACATGATATTGCTTTATACGATTACAGAGTTAATACATAGGGGTACAAAAAAAAAACTTTCTTTGTGAGTTTTTGAAACTGTAGATAATAATACAATAAAATGACAGGGGTATGTACTTATCTGTAAAAATACAGCAGTGTCAGTAATTTGCTCTGTGCTAATGCATGTACATGGCTATAGACTTGTTCTCACGTGAAAACTTGTGCCTGTCTGCTCTAAACCCACCAACATTCTCGAAACTAATTTAATAAGAGAATTTGAATTCATGTTCAGTAAATGACTTGTACAGTAGGCTTGAAAACTCAAATAGACGAAATGATTAACAATCTAGTAGTGATTCAACATCAGCTGAGTTGAAGTGTGTAAAGATGACTTTTGTAAAGAAACCCACCATGTTGTACGGAGAGGTTTTTAGATACTAGTAGTATGCCCTAAATGTGCCTGCCTCGTGTTTATGTGAATATAATTACAAGGGGGGACTTTCTATTAAGTCTTCTCTGACCGAAAAACCTAGAGTTTGACAAAAAAACGATTGTTCACATTCCTGTACATTCTGAATGCTACTTCTATGAACTTTGACCCAGTGTTGATAAACTGGTGACGGGGAATCACATGAGAGTTATGTGTGGGAGTTAAGATAAAGAAAGACCCAATGTGTATTTTGGGATCATTGCAATCTACATCACATGATAAAAATTACGTTGGAAACTTTGCAGAGTTAGGTTACCCTGTAATATAAAATTTTAAGCTGGAACCAGAAAAAAAAAAGAGAGGAGAAGGGGTGAAATATATAAAGCCAAGCTTTAGGTACCTTCATTTGCATATTGGGTATGGGTGTGTGGATCAATTCACAGATGTAAGGAATTTCAGGACTTTGAAATAACGGTAAATAATTCACTATTTTTGATTTTTTTATCTTGAAAAATACATAAGTGAACCCATGACCCTAGGTCAACAGTCGAAGTAAAAACAAAAAGGGTCAAAGGTCGTCATTACAAACATCAGTGGGTACTGTAAAATACTTTATTTTTGCTTGAGATTAATTTTTATTGTTGATTTTTTATCTATTTTGCTTATATTAGAAAAAAGGGCATTCTAACAGAGCCAAAATGCTACACTTAAAGTTTAAATTGTCTAGCTGTTTCAGACTTGTCTCATATTATATTAATTGAAGTATTCATATTATTAAACCGACTTGTATGTATGTGATGTTTACTGTAAGTTAAATTGTCTAGCTGTTCCTATTGACCTAGATCATCAATGTGTTGTTGACTGTATGGAATGACATACTGCTGGTACAATCATTCATTGTATAGGATATCTTTCATTTTCTGTTGACATTTTAATTCCATGCAACCCCCTATTTCAGTTCACCACCAAGGTCTATTGCTCATGCATTTTTCTAATCTTGTTCACTAAGTTCCTGTGTCGCTTTGTGACTATCAGTAGCTGATGAGAGTATTGGGTTTGAATTCTCAAAAACTGATCACTTATATGTTTTGACAGATTACTTATATGATTTATGTTTCTGTGCTCATCACATATTTTTTCCCCTTTTTATTTTATTAGAATTTTAGAAAATAATTCAATGGCAATTTAAAAATAAGAAAAACAATTGTTATCTTTTTGACTGATGCAAAATGTGTGGCAAAAAAAAAAAGAATCATATTTCGCTGATTTTTCCTTTGATCAAGAATAGTAAAAAATATATATTCTAAATCTGCTTAACTCAAATAAAAATATAACTTATATATATTTTAGTTTGGTGAACTTTGACCGACTTGTTCAATATTTAACATAGTTTTATTAAAAAATTATTTTCTAATCTATTAGAAATAATCTACCATACTTTTTTTCCCCATGAAGAGGAATTCCCACTGTTATAAAAGTGTAAAAAAGCACACTGTCATTTTATGTTTTGCGTGCATACCCGGCTTGTCACTATGTTTCTGTATGTATACTTATGTGGCAGGTGCTTACACTATGAATCACAAGGTGACCAGCCTCACAGTCTGGAAAGAACACTTTATTGCATGCTATTTACATTGTGCACACAACCTGGAGTAACCTATAAATGGAATTATCCAATCAGTCACTGTAGAGTTATCAGCACCACCCAAAAAAAATTGTCTGTTTGGAATGAATCAGCCTTTTAATACCGCACAAAGGCGTGACTGAACATGACAGTGTACAGCCGGGGGATGCAACTCCCACATTAAACAGGCCTGTTCTGTTAATTACTGTCTCTATAAAATGGAATATTTCTTAATTAAAACAAATTTGATCTCTTTTGAACCCTTTTTCTTTTGAAAGTGGTTGTTATGTGTACAACTGCTCATAATACTGTCGTCGCTAAGGTTGATACTTCCACACAACATGCAAATATGGCTGCCTGCCCATATATGGAAAGGGAAATCCCCTATAAGTGTCCCTGAATGGCATGACCTTCAATGGTATTGACGTCATTATATGTACACTAAAAATATCTCTGCCCAGCGAGCCTCTTTTCTTTATAAATGCTCTGTCTTGGAGAAGATGGATTTTATTTTAAAATAAACTGGCCAGGATGCATGAACTCATTCCAAAATACAACTCCAATAGTTTCAAAGTGAGTGCTTTTTGTTTTTTAAGGCATGCTCCAAATATAAGTTTGTGGCTTCACCCTGTATTTTTATATTAACATTGATATCATGATCAGAAAAGTTATTTATTTGATTAAGATAACGTTCCCCATAAATAATCTTCAGACTATTTTTTTATTTTTTAATTATACCCACCTATATCATATTAATATTTTACATTCATTCAATCATTCATTCATTCATTCATTCATTCATTCATTCATTTGTATTTTTCAACTCATTTTTCCCACTAAATATTTGATTGCATAGTATTTCTATGAGTAGTAATTGTCTTACCGCAAATTTATTGTTTTTTTCTTCAAATCTTAGTTCAATGATATAGTAATGTTTACAATTATTCTCTAATTTTCTCAAAATTCAATATGACATTGCTCATAATTTTTTTAAATTCTGTTGTAACAGATTTTATACAAATTTTTAATGGAACTATTTTCTCTTGTGGAAGGTGACAAAAGTTGATAATGGAGGTAAAAGAAGGGTTAAAAGATCAAACCACGCATGTTTTGGGCCAGTATTACTCACAATCTTTGAATCATTTTCCAAATCAGGTTAGCTAACCAGACATGTGTAATTCAACATGCTATTCAAATGTAAATAACTGGGTTTTATTTAGAAATTATGTCAGATGTAAACTAGGCTAAAATGGCACCCAGATGCCTTGAAAACAGTAAATATATTGTAGAAAAGCCTGTTTATTTGTTTTTCCGGTGGACTTTACCATTCAACAATTAGGCATTGTATGTATAATCCAACAGGAATTTGTCTAACAGCTTTCCTTCCCATGGCTAGCAGCCTTTTTTTTCTATTGGCCTTACGTCATATTTATTTACATCTGAGAAATGCAATGTGTGGAATTTGATATAAAATGTCGCTGACTCCGCATAAACATTTATGTGTACTAGACACTTTCACCAAATGGCCTACATTCTGAACTGTTTTCAAACTCATAAACATGTCTTGCTGTGAGGTATGTAGTGCTGTTGACTATTAATTAATACTGCAGGGAGAGAAGATTTTTTTTTTTCAGTTAATTTGTGCTAGGCCATTTTCAGGGTGACGTTTGTGATGTTTTTTTCATTTATAGATTTTTTTCTTTCATTCAGGATTCTCCGCAAAACAATAAGACAACCCTCATATGAATCAACCCTTTAAATTTAGACATGTATACAAACTGGCATTTTAATTGTTTTTTTTTCAAGAGGATCGAGGCCTTGACTGAAATTGAAAATAAGTCCTGAATGTGTGTTAAGGTTTAATATCAGAGTCTCTGATGTCGGCTGGCAAATGTGAATACACTATAGTATAGCTACGTGGCTCTTGAAACATTTAATTGTATTTGTGTAGATCATAATATTCTTTGCTGTGTTTACTTTATATTTATTATTTTGATAGCTGCTTTAATTCCAACGTAAACTGACGTCTCAGTGGCGGCCATTTTGACTATCTTGACTTACCGGGTAATGGTCTTTTAATTCCAAAAAATAACATGGAAAGCCATTTTTTTACCAATGATTTCCAAAAAGTCAGTCATGAGAATATCATTATGTACAATTTCAGTAAATCTTCTAGATGAAAGGCTGATACAGGTACAACAATCAAAATAAATCTTAGTCACTAGCGGCTATCTTTATGTCGTGACAAATAAATAAACAAAAAAGATGTTCACCATTTTATATGAAATGATTCAACTGATCACTGCACCACTCTTCTTTGTAGATAGTAAACATGTGTGTTATATATGGCATTAAAATGTATCAAATTTAGGTAATTTTTGACATGGGATAAATCACTGAGTCATGCCTAGTATCATTTGACTTGTATCATAAACTGTCCTTTTTTCAATATTTTGCAGTTTACTTATGCATTCTGTTTTGTTTAATTTTAGGAATATATCCTGTCACTGTGTGATCCGCAGTATAAGCGGACGGAGAAATATCCCCCAGAACTTGACGCTATATTACGCAAACGGGTAGATTACATTGAGCATGAATCTCGCGCTGCCATATCATTTTCTGGTGACTTTACTGCGACCGTGAGAGGCACTGATATTAATGTTATGACCGCATGCTCTCTTATGGAAAAAGAAATAAACGATGCACAAAATGGAATTGAAAACACTGAACTCTCTAATCCAAGGGGAGAAGATTATTGTGATTCGTCACAGTCGTTCAGTCATACACCTTATATCATAGACGTTGCTCAAAGACTTTCAAGTGAGGACTGTAGAAGCCCTGGCAGTACATCTAAGGACTCTGATTACAATACAGATCCTGAGGACGAACCAGACGGCGGATTTTCAGACAATAGCAGACTTCAGAAATTACCAGACGGGGAAGCAAAAATAGCAGTTTCTCGGACTTGCTCTGATCAGACTTGGTATCAGTTTCAATTAGACGCGAATGTTACCACCGATCCTGACGGCTCTCCTGTAAGTAGTTTGAAGAAATCAGATCATTACAGTGCCAATGTGGATTTTGCTACAAAGCTAGGATATACTGAGCAACAAGTATTGACCGTGCTTGATCAACTGGGCCCCGAGGCTGATAAGAATGACCTACTTGGTGCATTGGTCAAAATGGCCAAAATAGATAATGATGATAAATTTATCCCACATGGTGGGTCTCCGACGGTCGGCTTTGAAACTCTTGATGATGCTGTTATTATTGATCCACAGCTGGATGAGAGCTCCAATCTCAGAGCTATTGTTATAGATGGAAGCAATGTGGCTATGAGGTGAGTTATATTTCAAATTTTCACAAGTTTGAGAACTTGTGAAATTTTATAGCTATGAGGTCAGTTATATTTCAAATTTTCACAAGTTTGAGAACTTGTGAAAATTTTATAGCTGTGTGTTAATACATCAACATACATGAAGTCAATTTCTAACACTGTGACTGGGATAGCAGTGACAATGATAGAAATGATTCTCATAGAAGTGGCCATGATAGAGGTACTCACGATGGAAGTGGCCATGATAAGAAAGATTAATCAGGTTTAAATGTCTATGGAAGGAAGGGCAGTTAGAGTGGGCAATTGTAAATTCTTTAGGAAGGTTGGGTAATTGTTTCATGAATGCCTTGTCTGTGTTGAATTTGAATGGAATTCAGGAATATATAAAAACAAAGGGGTTCCTGTTACGACATGATTTATTCTAATTTTTATACCGTCACCCTCAGGACGAATTTTCCCAATTGTTATTTTTTGTTTACTACTCCGGTATAAACAGTGTTATATCAATAGTAATACATATTCAATGTTTATTATCTTGGTAGTCATGGTAACAAAGAAGTATTCTCATGTCAAGGAATTGCCATTGTTGTGGACTGGTTTTTAAAACGAGGACACACTTGCATCAAAGTATTTGTCCCGCAGTGGAGGAAAGAAGCATCCAAACCAGAGACACCAATCACAGGTTAGTACATGTAGCTGTTGTTGTTTGTTTTGTATTTATTTACAATGACACTCCTGAATCTGACGATGAGTATTTAACACAAGTTTTCATTTTTGTCTGTTTATGAAAATATTGACAGCAAATTTTTGAACCAACCCAAATGAGTACTTGCAAGTTATGATTGTTTGATTTTGAATTAACATTGTCATTGAAAATTGGGCAAAAGTTGAAATAACGTGTATTAACATTGGGGGGAGGGGGTTTTCAGAAAAGGTCCCCTACCTGTTCCCTAACAAATTACACCATCTTAATGTAGGCATGACAACTGTTACTCTCATAAAACATTCAACTTCCTTGTATTTTAAGAGGTCTATTATGTAGTTAAGGCTACGCTGGTTGGGTCAAATAGAAACTACAGGTCGTCCAGGGCTGCATGTTTTTTTTTTTTTAGTGGGATGTTTTCAGTGAAGAATTATTTATGATTTTAATTTTTCTAAAAAAAAGAAACCAATCAAGGCAGTTCAGGGTGTAGGACAGGTAATCAACCTTTGAATAAACCAATTTTTCTGAATTTATTTAATAAATTGTAATTAATACCTATCTATTTGGTTATAGAAATCATAGAAAAATACATAAAGAATTGTTAAATATTGCTTCAAAATTTTGGTGGACAAATTTGTGGCATCCAGGTATGAGTTGAATACTACAAAGGACAGGATTGTTCATTGGCATTATGTTTCTGATTTACCAATAAATTGTTCACTGGTGCAAATCAGTTAACTTCCGTGAAAGACACTTGATAGTGCATTTTAATATTAGAGAAGGATATTTTGTGAAAAATATGGGATTCCCTTATGTTTGTGACAAGACTGGGCCCCCTATGTTTGTGACAAGACTGGGACCCCTTGTGTTTGTGGCAAGACTGGGACCCCTTGTGTTTGTGACAAGACTTGGACCCCTTATGTTTGTGACAAGACTGGGACCCCTTATGTTTGTGACAAGACTGGGACCCCTTATGTTTGTGACAAGACTGGGACCCCTTATGTTTGTGACAAGACTGGGACCCCTTATGTTTGTAACAAGACTGGGACCCCTTGTGTTTGTGACAAGACTGGGACCCCTTGTGTTTGTGACAAGACTTGGACCCTTTATGTTTGTGACAAGACTGGGACTCCTTATGTTTCTGACAAGACTGGGACCCCTTATGTTTGTGACAAGACTGGGACCCCTTATGTTTGTGACAAGACTGGGACCCCTTATGTTTGTGACAAGACTGGGACCCCTTATGTTTGTGACAAGACTGGGACCCCTTATGTTTGTGACAAGACTGGGATTCCTTATCATAAGTTATGTTTGTGATGATTTGTGATATGGATACAGAATTCAATTTATCTGAAGTTTCTGTAATCCATTATTTGGATATTTGTGGTGTGTGCATTTCTAATACAGCTCATGATACGTTTCAGAACTTAATTTCTTCAAATACTCATGTCCCAGGTTCTACTCTTTCATTTTTCACCGTCTTTATATTCACGTTCTCAACATCTCACAGACGATTCCCCTTATTTTTTCCAACGAGAAGTCAAATAACTTTAATGTGGTCTGTTATTTAATTTCAAAAAATATGCGATAATACTAAACATTGCTTGTCCTAACACTTCCTTTATAAATCCAGATTTCTAAATGTTTTGTTTTGACCTTCCAACTTTATTTGTACAACAATTGTAAGCCAGAAGACTAAACTCTCCAAAGCTGTTCAGTCTGCATCAAGAACGGCATACCAGTTCACCGGAAGCATGACAGAAATCGTGAAAGTGTCACTCAATGTTAAAATTTTATTGATCACTCTTTTCAGGACAGGAGATACTTACTCAACTTGAGAAGGACCATATATTAGTTTGGACCCCATCACGGCGGATAAACGGACGACGTGTTGTATGCTACGATGATCGCTATGTCTTGAAATCAGCAATGGAGTTGGATGCAATCATTGTTTCCAACGATAACTTTCGAGATCTACAGAGTGAAAACCCTGAGTGGAAAAAAATGATCGAGGAGAGATTATTAATGTACACATTTGTAGATGATACGTAAGTAGATTAATTTTTACCCCTCCACAAAAATATCCTCTCTCCTGTGTGGAAGTTGACTCCACTTTGCACCTGATACAACTTGTTATCAGAGGTGTCAGAAATAAGTGTCAAAAACTTGCACTGGCTGCAGCAGCACAGTGATCATAGAGTTGCAGGGTGCTAATATCGAGGCATTGGGATCATGTCTAACCTCTCTCCTGTAAGAAAACGTTTTAATACCTATAAGGTGCACAATAGTTCCTTATATGGTCAACCTACTATGTCGTTGCGATTTATTACTGTTTCGATGGTGGAATTATGACCCTAGAATGGTTTGATTGATACCTTTGCACAAAAAACAATGGTCACTTTGTGTGTCGTACTTTTGTCCAGTGTAAATAGATTTAATACCCTTAGCTTAAGATAACAGCTTGCATATCTATGTAATTTTAATTTTAACTTCTAAAGATTTTTGATTTATTCAGATTCAGATGGTGGAACCAATTACACCAACTTGTACTGTAAAATATTTTATTTTTGCTAGAACTAATTTTCACTAAAAAGACATTTTGACTGTTCTGTATAAAATTTATTTTCACTGATTTTTGATGAGTTGAATGTAAAATATGAATTCACTGGATTTAATTTTCACTGACTCATCCTTTTAACGAAAATAATGAAAACAAATTCATTTACAGTAACAAATTCTGTCAATTGAATCCATATTTAGCAACAAGAACAGGAAAGCATTATTTTGTGAATTTTTTTTTTAATTTTGGAGTACAACTCAATTGTAGAATTTTGGTAGTAGACGTACACCACAATCATGAAGTCTTCAGCAATGGTTTTAGTATATTGTGTAATACTTTTTGAATTACTTCCTTGTTGGCACAATGCCATTTTGACGTTTACACATATATAAGGAAGTAATAGCGTATGCTGCCTTTTTGTGATCAAAGAAACAATTGTAATGGAGACAGGTTTGAAACCAAGTAATCTGCCTGGGTAAATTTGGCTCTTTGTTATGTTTATTGCAAACCATAGTTTCTTGTTATGTTTGAGCAGCAATACTTTTTTTCTGTGGTTCTATATTTCTGAGATTTGAGAGAGAAACTATTACAGCAAAGTAGGAATAGAGGTTCATTTCCTTCTTGCTTGACGAGTTGAATATTTGCATTGCTCTTGGTTCTACGCTTTCCCACTTAAATATTACTAGATGTTATCATTTTTTTGTTATTACTTTCCACTATAACATCATGATTTTAGTTTAAAATTTGTGGAATGGTGAAGCCTTTTTGTGAAATTTTCATTTTCAAGTTTTGCAACATATCTTTTTTAAAGGTTTCATTTCACAAACGATAGATTTTCGCTAGTTCCAAGAGTAAAGAAACTGTAAATATTTCCACAGAGAATTCTGTGAAATTAACAGATTTATTTCAAGACCTGAAAATATGTTTATTTGCTAAAATTTTGTACCGAATTCTGAGCTGGAAAAATTATCAAACCGTTAATGCCATTGACCAATTCTATGACATCAGTTTAAGTTTTACAATTTTATTTTATTATCATTTTGTTTCTAGGTTTATGCCCCCAGATGACCCTCTGGGAAGACATGGTCCAAGTTTGGACAATTTCCTGCGAAAAACTCCAACTATGCCGGAGTCACTTCCAGCCCCTTGTCCATATGGAAGAAAATGCACGTATGGGAATAAATGCAAATACTACCATGCAGAGCGGCCGCACAACCAAAAAAGTATGAGCGATCGGCTGCAGGAACAAGCCAAGACCAGGAGAGAACTCAGAGCGAGAGGTACCCATGAATCAGCGGGAAGAATTTTGTCTGCACCGGGAGAGCAGAAAAAAGTTGTCAGCCCTCAGAACTCAAATAATATACCAGAGAAGAAATATGCACAAATGTATAAAGAAATAAACGTACCAAAGCGGCCTGTGAGCGGCACTGTCTCAAATGAGCTGAGACCAGAATCTGAAGGCTATGTGCGAAAGCCTGTTGAACACTATGAACCGTACTCTGAATTCAGTCGGGGAGTTGCTAACTATCACCAACCGCAAGGTGGTTATATACGAGGACCCATGCAGTATCGTCAGTCGCAGCAGCCGCACACAGTTCCCTTAGTAGGCTATGTTAGACCGCAAGAGTATCATTCACAGCAACTGCCACATACAGTTGATTTAGCACAAGGATATGTCAGAGAGCCACATCCTCATCGATATATGGACAGACAAGATGAAGTTCTTATGAATAAATTCAGGCAAATGAAACTTCGCGATCACAGGTAAGAATTAGAGTTGTATTATACCGCAAACTGCTATAATTTCTAAAGAGACAAATTTCAGTCACTCAAAATTTCCGTTTCTGAATAGTAGGACTTGTTTTGTTTACGCTTAATTTGTTATACTCAAACAGTGATTACATGCATAATGGTAACTATGGTTATGGTAGTCGTGGTTACTCTAAAGAAGAGTATCACCAACATGCTCCGTTATCGCGGCAACAAAGTTATCAGCATCCTGATGTATATGGGCAGGTGAGAAATTTTTTTTATTAACATTACTATGATGTGACTGGATTTAATATTGACAGTGGATGTAATAGTATGACAATAAACACAAGCTGCCTGGCATATGGAATTTTGGGGGGGTCAACACTTTTATAACTATACCTTTCAAGTCATGAATTTTGGAATTTTTATTTTTGTGTGTGTTAATGTCACAGTTGCTGTAATCCACAATAAAATACGACTCCCTGTAGGCTTATTGTGTAGTTTGCCTTGAGATAATTTAAATTCGATAAGCTCTTAAATCTGATGATTTTATTGTTGCGTGTTTCAGATGCATAGCCAAGGGCAACCTCCAGCAGAATATATGGACCACCAGGGACATGCTAATGTTACAAGGATGCGAAGCTTTCCCGTTGAGGGCGCCATCCCTCAGATACGTGAACCTCGTCCGAATATGATGCGTCAAAACAGCACATCTGATCCCCAGATATACCAAGATGATGAACGTATGCTGCGTACACACAGAGGCTATTATCCCGAGATGGAACCGACTCACTGGTCATCCGCGGATAAACTTTATAGCGGACCCCCAACGTGTAATGGTGGTGAACAAATTCCCTGGCCTGGGCCAAAAACTGTTAGAGCACCCAAGGAGGTGATTTCCAGATCAAGGAAAACAGAGTCTCCTAAAAAAGATGTTCTTTCTTCAGGACCGCCTTTCCCACCCGGTGATGCCAGACTTTTCGTGTTCTACAATCTGTCGTCAATATTCCAAGAAAAAGACATTCTACAGGCTATGCGGAGACATCCTGAGGAAAGAGACCCACAAAAACTGTGCGGTTTTATAATAAATAAAAACTAAATATAAAAAAAAAGAAAAGAAAACAAATCATAAATCTGGGTTCAGGTTCCGAGTACAGAGTTTTATCCTGTACTTGTTATGTATGTGATGAACCACCAGGGTTATCTGTCTGTAACTGGTTTTGTTCCAGTGTGTAGTATGTCATCAGTAACGGTGGAAAGCGATTGTCTCGCAGTCTGTGCCAAATGTCAATCTAAGTATATGCTGTGCATGCGAGAATCGGCGCAGACTGAATGAACGTTGATTTTGGTTTAGTGTGCAATAATGTCAGAATTCAACCTGTAATGTAAAACAGTGTTTTCAACTAGTCTTGTCAAGGTGAATTCTTAGAAGAGTTTTATGTAATGAAAATCTGTATGTTAGCAAACTCCTTTTGTATGGTGATTACAGTACCAAGGCTTTGCAGTTGAGTGTCATCTGTTGCATGTTGCTGCATCAGAGCTTAAAAGGCAGTAGTAGTCTGTCTTCATTTGAGATGCGTATCAACATATACCACAATCACCGCCATTTAATTGAACTGAATCTGGTACTGGTACAATGAAGTCAGATTATTATTTGGAATTGATGTACCAGAAATTACTATCTGGTATTGTTAAACTCAGGAGTTTGCTTTTGTATCGGAATTATGATAGCAGAAGTTTAGACCCCTCCCCCCTTCCCCTCCCCCTCCCTCTTCTCCCTTCCTGTCATGATTTGGCCAGTATATTCAAACATATAGGAAATGGAGTTAATGGTTTTACAGTGTTGAATTTTTATCAGATTTAATTTTTTTTATAAACTTGTTTGACGACACATTTTATCAACAGTAGTAGATATACATGTTTTATATGTGCATGTATGCATTTCATTGCCAGTGTGTTTGATTCTCTCATCCTTGCAGTAAATATAAACGGACAACTCTCTTCTTTTTTCTGCTGCTTTAAAATTAGATGTAATTTCTAAAAAAGAGATTCACTTTCGTTCAGCAACAAACAGTTAACCACAGTGGCAAAGGATTTAACACAATGCACTAAACTCCCACAATGCACTGCACTTCTGTGCAGCAAATCATCTTGGTTAGCTGTGGAGCAAATCTTGAGCTTTTAGAAAACTTAATAAATTTATCTCATTTTATTGAGGTATATCGTATAGCTGTCAAAGCATTTGTTTATTAATAAATGGCTAGATAGGGGGGCTCCTTGTACATTGCACCTTGTGAAACACTCATTGTGAAATGTATTTCTATTGAATTTTTTGATTATCAGAGTCTCCATGTTTGTATTCTAGCAACAGATTTTATATACTGAAATTATTTGTATGTATTTTAACTTTTTTTTTTAAATAAATTATTCTGATCATAAGACAATGGTAAACTTTGCCAGAATGACATAAAGAGTGATGTATCTAATAGAGCTTTTGTTCAACTCTAGTCAGAGCCCTTTAACTGGCTGGTTAACATTTTTTGCATTGTTTAGTCACGTACAACCAGCATTTAGTATTGCTTTCTTTCAATTGTTTTTCATAATTTACATGTACTTAATTCTTTATGTTCGAAATGTGAGTCACGTTGAAATACATGTTTGTAGGATTTCTGCTGCCACAGCTTAAAATTTGATAGAAAATTGTAGTTAGCTTTATGGTTGCAATGCAACAGCTAACATTTCTTCAACGCCAAAATAATGTTGCTTTTAACTTATGCCTTAAAGATTAAATGTCATATCTTTAGTATTATGTTTTTTTTTTAAAATCGATGAATTTGTGCCTCAGAAATGTGTAGTTATGAATTTGTTTTGCTAGACTAACTTGGTGACGTTGATATTCAAAGGAGTTTTTCTAAAAGTAACTTAGGTGGTACTAATGCAGATTATGGATTTCTGTGCTTACTTAAGTGGTACTAATGCAATGTATGGGGAGCCTTCTAAAAGTGCAATAATATTTATTGCACATTATTTTACACTTTATAAAACTATTATATTAAGACAACTGTGGTTGTCCTCAATAGTGTCAACGCTTTGTACGTCATGCATTAACTTTTCACGCAACAATTGAATACAAGGTGATTAACTTGTTGAATGTCCAAGTTAACGTTTGCCGAAAAAATAAACCAGAATAATTTGTTTATTTCCTCCAAAATTGATATGCAAATTTTCAAAATTTATTACCAAAATTTTGCTGAAAAAATGGGGCATTCAAGGAGCTTATAAACATTAGAAAAATTACTGATTACTGGTGAAAATAATAGTCATCCAGTAACTGTTAAAAAATTGGGTAACTGTTGAGAGCAGTCTACCTAAGTTGACCATGTTGCCCAGAAGTCTACCTAAGTTACCAGTAACTATTGGTATTCAGTGAAGAGCAGACATTTTGTATTGACTTGTGCGAGAGTTAAGACGTACAAAGATAGGTGCTATATGGACCTAGTATTATGTAAAGCCTATATTGGCAGCAAAATTTATTGATAAATATGATGATTTTAAAATATTTCCTTCTTTAAAATATAAAGATTTTGTAAATTGTTTTAATTGTGTTGTTTTTTGTCTGCTTGAATTGTGCATTAATTAACCAAGTAGCTAGACGCTCATTGGACGGATTAAATATTTAAAGTTTTATCATATCCTTGTTATCTAAAAAAAATGTATTCAACTCTCAGAATCCTACTGCCAGTCCTGTGGATTCCTACTTATTTAATTCTGTATTTTCAGTGGACGGGAAGGGGGCAGCTTTGGTAACATATTGTACTAAAGTCACACTCATTGGAAAGGGTTCTAACTACCTTCTTTATTAATTCAATAAAGGTTTTATTTCAGTGTATCTGAAGGTGTGTTAATGAATAGCCAAGCACTGATCTTGTAGAAAGTAAAGAATACATAACATGTACAGTTTTTAACGCAAGTTTTTGAAACAAACTCCCTAAGGTGTTAAAGATTTACACATGACTGCCCAGCATGAACAATTGGTTGTAAGAACAAGTGAACACTCTAGGTAGCTGAAAGTTCAGACATAAAACTGGCCCCCTCAGCTGAATAGAAGTTTACTAAAAAAGAACTTTGGATTTCTCCACAAACTGTAGTTTTACTTGTGTTCGAGATTTAAAAATTGATTTCTACACAGCAGTCTTTAATGTTCTTTTGACTTCATTGAAGCATAGACCTTAGATTTCTAAGGTCTATGATTGAAACAATTATAATCCCATTATTTTTAGATTTTTAAATGTATTTAGTTATTTGTGAAATAAATATTTTGTTTCAGTTCAAAACGTTTGATTTTTGGAACTTGTTATATTTTATGCATGAGTTTATGTGAAAGCGATGGTTGATTTTGTGCAAGGTGGCAAGAAAAATTGACATCTTAATCTTTAGTGTTCACTCCTGCAATGTAATTTTGTAACCCTGTGTGCTTTATATCAGTACAATTATAAGTGGCTACTTGCCAGAAATGAGATGACATGTTTCTATAGTTGAATCAATCAACAGTTCAGTGCACAAAAGACAGGAACTGCGTATTGGCAGACACCATTACGGAAGTCCGATAAAATGTGTATATCTGTAAAAGGCATTGGTGTATAACAGATACAGAGCAGTGTCTCTATAGAAAGGTTAAAATGATCAGTAGGTCAACTCGCCCCCACAATGCACTTGGAACTTCTAGCCTTAACCCTCATGTCTTAAAATGTGAAGAATTTCAAAATAATCTTACGTAATCTTCAGACTTTTCAAAAATAGTTCTATGGTCTTGAAAAACTTAAATTTAAGATGCTGAAAAATGTTGTCCATAATAATAATAATTTTTGCTTATCAAAACAGGCTTAGCTGAGAATACAGTGTGAAGTTTGTTGAATCAAATTCCAAATTTTGACATGTTGCTTGATTTTTAACATCTGTTGCATGAATTATGGTTAACATTATGCTATTTCTGGGGGCGGACATCGTCTGGCAACATGGTGAAAACAAAGGCCAAAAACTCTCAGAAAACGGTACTTTAAGATAGTTGTTGACTCTCCTGAACAGTGTAACAAGATTAACCCTACATGTGAACGTGTATATATTTGGTTGTGCATGATTGCTTCCAAGTTGAGTTTGTGCCGTTTCCTCGACTTTAGCTGTTTTTCACCGGCTTTTGAACCAGCATTCCACAGCAGTGCGCACGGAGCCCAAAGAAATACATGGTACCGTAGTGCACGTCTTAGCAACATAGTTCGTTATGTGAAGTAGCTCTGCCCTCAGGAATGCATGTTTTATTTCAAACATGTCATACTACCACTGGTAATTAAACCTGTATGTGTTCAATGGAAAATTATGTCTATTTGAAGCAAAGAGAAACAAATTATAGAAAAATCATACAAATATGCACAGTGTTGAGCTGAAATTTCCGGCGAGAAAAATCAATGGAGTTAATGTCGTGACACGTACATATTCTTCCTTAATTATATTTTCAGAGTGCAATAACCTACATGCGTGACTTCCTCTTTGAGAAGAGATTTCCTTCAAAAATATGTGTACATGTACGTATACTAAAGGTTGCCAATGAGCGGAAGTATATAATACTGTATAATAACTTATTTTTGCTTGCAATTTATTTTCGGTGGAGGTATGATTCAGTTGAAATAAAATCCAGCGAATATACCATTTTTTCTTTAATTTTACATTCAACTTGTCAAAAATCAGTGAAAATGAATTTCATACTTAAAACACCCAAAAAGTCTTTTCAGCGAATATTAATTTTACAGTAGTTGATTTAGACACAAGTCCATAACTATTGACCTTTCTTACTCAGTAGGATTTTTTTTTTTGGAGTACCATTCATTTTTTTTAAAAATCTATTTGTAAAATTTGTTTCAAAGCATTATTTCATAAAGAATAAATAGTATATAAATAATACAAATTTTAGACAAAAATGGCATATCTTATGTTTTTGCTCAAAAATCACCATCATTATGGGTGTTCTACATTTTTTTGTCAGAAATTTTATTTTATTGATTTTTATGAGCAACAGTCAATAAAGTGATGAGATAAGCATCGAGATAAGGGTCAAGGAAACCAGAAGCACATGGTATAGGCAAGGTGTTCCAATTAACAGTCGTATGTGAAAACACACTTTGACATTAAGCATATTACAATCACCGTATCAGTCTGATTTTCTCTTTTATGAAGAAAAATTAAGACACAAACTCTCCAAGATCATTTCCAATGATTAGAATTTCATTGAAGTCAAAGCACACTGGTTAATTGTGTAATTCTACCTTTGTTGTTTTTTAGACTTTGTCCGAGTCATTGGGCTATCATGATATGAATAATAAAACAATCAATTTCCCTGTTAATCATTAGCAGGAATATCGTCATATCTTGACTGTTTGGCATGTGGTGAGTGATGATATAAATCAGGAAGTTTGAGAGTATGCATCACCCCCCCCCCCCGAGTTTATTAGGTAATTTAGGGTGTGCATCAGTGTTATATTCACTTTCATCAACCATAGTTATATTGTTTCATTTCTCAATTGAAACAAACATGTGCTACACGTTATTGTTGGTAATTCAAAGCACAAAAACTACTATACAGTGAAGGACACAAAGCTGTGGGTATTACTGATAAAATTTTCGCAATTTAGTGGCATTTCTTAGAGACACATCATCAACGCTTTGGGCTACCATTGTCTAGCATTGTTATAACAACTTTATTTAATGCATCCTTAGAAATACAATATTTTATCGGTTAATAGCAATAAATATTCAGACAGGCTTCTGTAAGTCTAAAATCAACAAAGATGCTATCATTGTTTATTTATGATAATTATGCAAAGGAAAGGAATTTGAATAATCCAGAATGACGGCAGAGTTCTTCAGTGAAAGATTTATGGTACAGATTCTTTCATTTTTCTCCTAATAGAACGCATTTTATGAACAATTTCAATTTACTTATATTGCGCATATGTTTATGATTATGACTATACCGGTACATTTAACCTTGCCTCAGCGCCCGTTTTAGCAAGAATAGAGGAAATTATAAAAGAAACTGCAATCCTAACGAGAAGCTATTCTAAAAGCATCTGAGGGGGATTACCTAACTGACAGTGTACAGTATTCAATAACTCCCTAGATTAGTTTCACTTTCACACCTGTACGTTTCCACTTCCTACCTTAGTTACGGTGTTATATTAACCTCACTTTACAAAAACGTGTTCCGCATCCAGAGTTTTGACTCAATGACACGTTCAAGAATTAACAAACTGTTCAACACATTCCCTGTGTTTAGTTCTACTCAGTATGTGTATACACGTGTTCTGAATAGAATAGAATAAAAAACTTTATTATCACCATAACAAAAGTTTGAACTTTCTTTTTTGGCATAATACATAATAATGATTTAATTAGAAAACAACTCAAATGTCAACAGAAAATGTCAAAAATATGGATGATGAAATAATTACCATGAATTTCATAATGAATTAAACATACATACTTACTGTTTTTGTTTATCATAAGCAGCATGAAGTTTTTGGTCATTACTGCTCATTATGAATATAAATTTCCCTTGTAGAATCTTTTAGTGATTCCATTTTGTTTCATTCCATTCCAATTATGCGAGGTGACACATCTGCCAATAGATTTTAAACATTTTTTGATATTCTACCGACGAACAGCTACTGCTCAAAAAGTCTAGCTAGTGAATAGTTACGAAATACTAACTACTGTATTATTCATAATATTTATTCGTCAGTTTCATGAGTTTTACTTAATGTTATCTCACTGAGTGATGATGAATAAGGACATTTCATCACAACATATGTGCATTGATTACAAATTAATGAGCAGTGAAACTTATTTATTTTTCTGTTATATTTAACTTATTGACATTTTTTTCTGTCAATTTTTCTTTGTTAAAACGATCACATTTCCTTTAGCAAAATAGCTTTATGTTATGCTGTTCACCGAACTATTTCGCACAAGACAGACAAACCTCTAAAAAATTTATATTTTGTGATATTTTAGTTTCTATGGTAAAAAGTTCTCAGCATATCTCAAAACTTTGCTATATATGATAAAAAAAATCGGAAAACTATAAGATAGATACTTTATGATTATAAATTATTAGGAAATTCTGATATACATACAAACTAATTATTTTTTAGGAAATAATGCTTTTCATGGCTTCCTGGAGAAATTGATCCAAAAATGTATCGTTTTGCATTTTACCTATGTTAAAACATGGCTGATGGAACATTTTTACATGAAAACTCATGCGTGTCCACTTTGAACTCGCCCACACATTTGATACCGGTAGTTAAAAAAACAAACAAGCTGCTCTCTGATTGGTCCAACTGTTAGGTGTTGGGGTTGGGTAGCCAATCAGGTACAATCTTGTAAATAGCTTTGCATTGACTCAATATTAGTGAAATAGTACTCCATGCATGTATCAAATAAAAACCTGGTATTCTGACTTTTATTTTCTGAATACCTTTCTTCAGTACCTTTCTGTGGGTGACATGTTTATAAATTGTCATTTTTCCAGAATAATTCATGGTTTGAGTTTCGTCCTACATATTGGTGGCAGAAGTGTGACTGAAATCTAAAAGAAATTCATTAAGTTATTGGAAACCCAGATAAGTTCCCTTCTCCATTATTTGTATTCAGTATATATGTGGTAATATCCAGTGAAATCTTTAAGGTCTAAACAGAAACTTACATTCAAAAATACTATACGGGAAAATTTAATGTCAGAGTATTTAGAATAGAACTAATATTTATTATAAATGTATGTGTATATATATATATATATTATTATATTATCATATTTGTTTATTTGAAATATACTGAGGTGTAACCTACTGTCAGTCTTAACTTAAGTCATTAAATTTAAGTTAAGTCAGGGATCTGACTCGACTAGCTTTTAAGCTATTTCAGATTCCATTTTACCTAGACTGCATGTACAATTTTGAGTATTGTATGAAATATTTTTCTAGGTAAATAAATTATTATTATTATTATTATAAATGTGCAAGGGTTATTTTCCAATGTTGTTTTATGAGCTAATGGTTGCACTTTTCTTCCAAGTTTATTATGTCTTTTCTCGTTTGATACTCCTGCTTCAGCAATTTCTATTTAAAAAAAAAATACCGCTGTTTGCAATTTTTCGTACTTATTTATGCTTACTTAAAGCGAGAGGGTCGTCACCGGTGCATGCGCGGGAATTGAGTCCCAAGCGATGATAACACACGCTAAATATGCAAAGGCTCATGGCCATCTGACGCATGTGCAGGTGACGACTCCCCGGCTTTAAATCAAAAACATTTTAATTACCATTAATAAATGTGAACTGAAATATTCCTGTTCTGTCAATAGGGATGCTGCACCATGAAAATAAAACATTCGCATAAAAAAAAATTCAAAGAGTGAATTATTTTTGTAAAGTGAACTAGACAACACAAGAATACACCGAATGTTGTTAGCACCAGTTCATTGACACCTCGCAGAACCCTGATAAAAACGAGGCGATGCATCATTGGTCAATTATCTTTTGGTAGGTGCGATATCAGTCTTGTTTATTTAATTTTGTTGCCTTGCTGAGCAATGGATAAAATCAGCACCTTGCATGATCCTGGGGGTTAACTTGGGTTAATTGTATTTCAGTAGTCGTGATACTTATCTCCTACAAATCACGCCAAATTATTAATTCTTGGTAGTCTATGAATCAGGATGTGCATTAAAAATTACTGAACATTTTTTCTGTCAATGTACCCGGGAGTTGGCTACCATTAATCCAAATTTCCTTGACTTTAGCAATATGGATTTATTTTATGATGTTGTTCACCAAACCTGAATAAAAATGTATTTTACACACAGAACAAATTCCATGAAAATTAAAATTTTTGAGCTATTTAACATTGGTTTCCATAGCAACAAGTTTTCATCATATCTCAATATTTTGTTTGGTTAAATCATAGACATAAATATTGTCTATGATTAAATATGACAAAAAATCATAAGATTCACTGGCAATCGTAAAGAGAGACTTATCTTTAATCCATGAAAAATGAAATTAACCATCATATATGACAACATTTTTAGACATACAAGAAATGTAAATCTTTATTCAAATTATTTGTGCAAAACCGGTTTTGCAAAATAAAATAAACTTTCTCCTCCTTGGTGCATGAGGGCGCTATAGCAAATCAAATGCAGATAGTTGAATGTTGTAAAAAAACAGGGTAAGTATTGCTTGGAATCTGCAAAGACAGCAATAAATTCTAGAAAACAGTCATTTTCTGTGTGATAGCACTCATTTCTTCAGAAGTCCAAGTTTTGTTGGTGTTAACAGTATACATCAAGTCATCTGTAGAGTTTTCTATGGTTTCCATGGGAACCAGTGTCCTGTGAAAGAGAAACACAGGATGTGAATGAACAAACGAATAAACAATTAACAAAAAGTGACCAATTGGTGAACATTTGAACTAAGCAAGTTGCCTGATAGATTAATAGGAATTATTGAAATACCGTTCAAATTAATCATATTAAGTTTTACTTGAATTAGAACCACTTTGTCTACGTTAGAAAATATTTTTTTTCCTTTACTCAATTTTGAGCTATTTTGTAATTTTTTTTTAATCGACCATTTCCTCTGAGTGTATCTAATGGTCAACTTGTTTGTTTTTGCAAATGCACTAATCAGTGTGCCTCCCTTCTATTGCAAGGAACCAATCAATCAACCTGTTAGAAGCAGCTCTTCTTAAAAAACTCATTCTGATTGGTTGGTTGCTTCCAGGATGTTCACTCATGAATATTCAAATCAAAGTTCTCAAATACAGAACAATTTGTCACAGTATGCTGGGAGTGCAGTAGGGTAAAAATACTCTTACAGGAAAGAAAAATACTCGGGCAAGAATGGGTATGTCCTAAAAACATATACTGATAAAGGTTTGTCAAGGGAATAAAGTAAAGTTATATTTAAAAGTGTGCATACCTTTGTATTGTAGGAGTGTTTTCTGTAGTACTGGTAGGTACACCATCTAAATCATGAGGTAATTGTAGGTAGTGGGGATCATCCAATGGCTGACCTGGAACCATTCCCATGGGGTACTGTGACCATGTGATGGAATCTGTCAAACAATACACAATGTACCAACTTTAGGCAGTGGTGAATCATTTTCAAATAATTCACAAGATATTATGTTGTCAACAAAGATTGCAATATCTCTGTCTCTGATTGTGTGATGATTAGATTCCGCTTCTTGTCAATGCATGCAGCAGTTCCCCCCAAAGTCACATTCGATAGTGAATGAATCTCGGCCAGTGGAATTGGCCTTCCCATTGAGTCTGTGGCACACTCACCCATGTTCAGCCTAAGGTAGGATTTGAACTTGGGTCTACTGGTCATGAGTCTGATGCGACAACCACTAGGCTACCAGTGACCAGTATGCAGCAGTTTGAAACCTGGACCTCACCCATTTTTGTGTGCAAATTTGAGACCACAAAAAAGTAGAATGATACATTTTGTCAATCCAATAAAATAAAATAGTATTAAAAAAAATTTAAAACCATCATCATTTTTCAATTTTCTTGAGGACAAAAAACAAAATGAGAAATTAGCAAAGCAAAAATTCAAAAGTAGAACAAATTAATTTTTTTCAAACACACAAAAAAAAATAACAGTCAAACAATGCTTTTGAAATACTTTCAATTAATTTAAGTCTGATAAAACCCTATCTTTGTCACTTAAACAGACTTGAACACTTCACTACTGATCAGCAGATCAAGAAATAATATGAGTTAAGACAAAATACCTGTGCATAGTTGCCATGGCAACACATTTTCAGGTGTTGCAGCTTTTTTGTCATCCATTTTTTTTTCACCACTGGTATCATTTTTTTCTTCACATGATTCTTTTTCGTTTAACCTTTCCGTTATCTGTTCAACAGTATAAATCATCTTGTTTTCTACTTTCTCTTTCACCCCAGACGGAATCTCGGTTTTTAAATATATTTCAGTCAGTTCAGAGATTTGTTTTTGTGCGTTGTTCGTGATCGCTGGACGCACGTAAGGAATAATACTGAAATCAACATAAAATAACAAACAATAGACGTTTAATGAGATCATAATCTTATAATAAGAAATATTTTACACAGAAGTACGACATGTATTACCGGTACCAAGAATTTCTTAACAAAAATGAGTTGTATGATGTGTGTCCAGACGACAGTCGATTAACTTCTGAAATGTGACAACTTTTTTCAACTGAGCTCAAAATACCAAAATTCTATTTTATCCCTAGTTTAGATTGTTTTAACAGAATTCAATCATTTTGAAAATCAGCTTTTGTAAGGTAGGCCTGACTGAAAAGTAATGAGAAATGATTTTTGCCAACTTCAATTGCATTTTTAGGGTAGTGACTGGTAAATAAAAAGTTACATTTCAATTCCGTAGGTGGACGAAAATAAAACTTGTAACTCCTTGTTATTAAATACTGTTGTTCCATCATACCTTGGTAGTAAAGCTAGTGTATATTTGGCAGGGTTCTCTACGCACAGGTCTAGTAAGTGTCTCCACTGCATGTTGTACATTGACCCTGGGGAGGTCGAGTCACCGGTCGTGGCACCTGACAAACACATAATATAAAACTTGTTGGCAGAATTCTTAACAGTCTGTGTATTGTTACTGCGTTTGTTGTAAGCGTGTTATGAATGAAGTCCACAACACATATATCCACCATTATTAATACACAAATGTAATACAAGGTCATATGGTAGAACTGGAAATTATTTGCATAGTTTTAAATTTGTGCAACTCATGGGGAACAAAATTACATGACAAAATACAAAAATGTGTGATACTTGTGATTTTGGTTGATATGTTCCTTTGTTGGTGACGCTTTATTTCTCTTCAGTACACTACATATAATTGTGTCGGCCATTGTTGTGAACATGAACTACTGGGTACCATAATTTTTTCCTAAAATGTTTTCAATCATATTACAGATTTGTTTCTGTTGAATAGAGTACCAGTCTGAGATAACTAGATAAATTTTAATAATGGTCAAACTGAATCAGGATTTTTAGTTATTCAAAATGATCGTGATCGGAACTACTCCAACACTTTATTTGAATGCTATTAAACAGCAACACATTTGTCAACTGCAGCTCGCTACGGTAATGATTTGTCAAACCATTATTTTAAACCATTAAACCATGATTAGTATCATCGATGATTGCATGTACTCATGATAGAGTAATGCATATGGATGAGCACATCAAAAGTGATTTCTAAATCGGTGAATCGGGATCTGACCTGCCATAACTGATTCTCATAGCTAATGTACAATAATGTCTCCATAAATGGTCATGACCATGTAAAGACAATATTAATTACAGCTACCTGTTTTTATTACAGCTTTCACAAGGCACGCCGTCCATCCTGCTAGACATCTTGTTGCAAAGGCTTCCTGATTATTACATTTACATAACTCCTGTAGTAGATTCTGTACAAGCAGTGGGATGTAGTCTAATTGATGGAACAGCTCTAACACAGGCGTCCAGAACTGTAAGAGGGCGTTGTCTATCTCTGGCAGTGGTGAGGTGCTCAAGTCTGAGGGGACACAAAGGGTGTTCAGATTCCAACATTGCATTCATCCAAGCTTATATTTGTTATACCGGTACTTTGGGATGGGATCATCTGAGAAAAAAATTTCTTTAACCTTTTCACCACCAGACTTTCTCGCCAAAATTGTTCTGCACTTTTTTCTTATATTCTTCAAAATTTCTGGAAATAAACCCTAATACAGGAGCCAACAGACAAGATTTGAGTCAATATTCACTCAAAAAATTTGGCTATATTTGTCCTAGCCTTCTGAAGCAGAGCGCAGCGATAAACAGAAATATTTTTTTGAATTTATGATGAAAAGAGGGAGCTGGTGGTGAATAGGTTAACAACATTCACAAAATCTCACAGGAAACATTTGAGAAAATTAAATCATCCCCTTATTGTATAGACACAGATGTTGTATTATTCAGTTACTGGGCCTTTAAATAAAAATGTTGTCAACTCTCAGCCTATAGACTAATCTATACATTGTACATTGGTATTACTTATTTGCATAGATGGGCCCTGAATATGAATAAAATACATAATTATAAACACCAGAACTCACCATCTGCAGTCATTCCTAATACTTTAAGTTGATCTGGAGTTGGAACCAAAAACCCATCCTGTAACAAGGTGTTTATTAAATACACCCTGAAACATACAAGTACAATCAAGGGTAGATAAACAAAAGGCTTTACCATGGATAGAAAATGACAAGACTAGACCTATAGCCAGGGAGAAGTTAACAACTGAATAATAACTCACTTAACTTAACTATAGTAAATATATAAGCAACATAGATTAAGGAAATTTGAGTTTGAAAAGTTAACACCAATTCCTAAATGATTTTGTTCAAATATAGTATACCAAGATCTCATATTAGTTGTCTGTATGAATAAATCTTCATGAATTTGCTGTAAAGTACTTTAATTTGCAAGACACAGATGCCTGGCATTGGATTATTCACCCACCGTCAGGGGGACATGAGCTGGGGTTAGAGCGGTTAGTTTCACCCGACTGATGAGCATCTAAATCACCAGATCACAACTAATACAGCATATCAAACATATCAATTATCATGAACAAACCAATTTACCAACAATGCATCATTTTGATTTTTATCTGAAGCATCAACTACCACCCCACTACCACTCCCCCCTCCTACCACAATGGTTCAATGCAGACATACTTAATTTGTCAGATACCTGTGTTTACTTTTCAACACATCTTGAATGGTTTGGACCGCATCTTTTACTGCCTTCTCACTCCACTTTGTCTTCATCTTTCTAGACTGTATTCGCTGTTGTACAAACAAAATTAAGTGTATCAGACTGACCAACTTTCGTACCAAATGTAATGTTCAAAGCAACAAACAGAAATAAAACTACTACCCTATCATAAGCACACATACAATAATAATTTCATTTTTTTGCATACTGAACTTTCCTGACCATAGATGTACCTGTGTTATTTATGTATTGTAGGTGAAATACTACAAGATTCAGTTTTGGTTTTGTTTTACAACAGCTATGTGGTTGAAACAATAACAGACATTGTCAAATGAAAAAGAATCTGGTTTATTTACTTTTAATAAAAACATTAATAAAATTACACCATAGCCATTAAACATTAAAAACAGAAAATAACAAAAGTTTAATTAGGTATAATAGGATAATTCCAGAAAATATCCATCAGTGTTTACAAATACAGTGTCTATGGCATCATTCCCAGAATGCATTATCTGCAATATAAATTACAATCTTATTGAGTGTACGTTGTATACCTGAAACATGGCCTGTTGGTAGACAATGACAGCATCACGGATATCATCTACAGGGAAACAATAATTATTTTTATTTTCTGAGTCACTGGAAGAAAGATACATTTTAAACAGATATTGGATACAATTGTTGTGAATATCCACAATAAATATGCATGTCACATGATCAACATCAATCTTATTAAAATAAGATCCTGGTTGGCTTAATTTTTTTTTTTATATATAATTATTATTAATTTTAATTATTTACTATAATTATTATTATTATTTATTTTAATTATTTTTTAACGTTACAATTATTTTGCTGCAAGAATGGTTTTGTTCGTGAAAGCCACCTGGATCTGAACAACTCGCATAGGAACTCTCGTTCCAGTCTCACAATTTACGAGAAAAACAGCAGCCAATCAAATTCGTTGTAACATGTGTAAGATTACGCGAATGTTTTTGTTATGGTCACCATTTTGTTTTTCGTCAGCGTGAAGATTTCGGAGTTGTTATTGGTAAGTATATTGTGTATTTATAGATTCGTTTCTTGGTAAAAAAAAAAAACGACAGACAACTTTAGTCAACTGACAGTGTATGTATGACATGATATTGTGAAAATTGAAGCAATTTTGTTTGTATTCATTCGTAATGATGGATCTCAATCAATCACTTTTTGTTATTTTGCGTCGGAGGTTAACTGCAGTTCTGTAGCTCGCTTGGTTTCGCTGTCGGGTATTTCGTACGTCGTGGTGTTAACGCGAAATCAGAGAGCTACAGTTCTATCCTATACGAGTTGCTCTATTTTATCGACCTGAAATCAGGTCGGGCAGTAACAGCAGTTTTTTTCATTGGTCGATTTCACGAAGAAAACTGTGGAAAATAGGAAAACTACAGCGAAATCCCTATTTGCGGCTATAATTGAATAATTTATCGTGACGTAACGTGAAGCTGTAAATACAAGTGAACTAATTATTAATTTTGTTTCTTTTAGTTTCAGATTGTTTCTGTTTGTTAGCTACTATGTCGTATGTAGTTTTGGTTTTAAAAAAAGAGTTTTTGAATAAAGCTGGAAACCTTGCCAGTGGATACACCAGAAAAAAGATTCTCCGGAATACAGATGAAATTATTGGATTGAAAAATGGTTGGCTGTGCCCAGCAGAGCTGATATGATTGTTTTTACCCAGTTAGAATCAATTTGTTGGTCAAAAAATAAAATGCAGTTGTATTGTCAACAAGGATCACCCCCTAGGTACATGGTTTTATAGTTCTAAATGTGTGCAGGGAACAAAATATAAAACTGTTTTCACAGCAATTAAGACACATTGGCAATTGTCAATAATTTATTAAAAATAATATAACTGATGTCTCTGTAAATGTACATTTTGTATTCCCAGCATGGGGACAGATCCAATAAAAGAAAATTGTGTACTACAAGTAATAATTCATATGCAAGACAGAGCTTTTAACTACAATTTCTGTAGTCAATCAC